TGCTTCGAGAAGGTTGCTTCAAGTCTGGCGCGCTCCGTTTTGGGTCATAATTACAGACTCCTTTGCAGGGAGGGGATCAGTAGTTCTCAGTACGAACTTAGCATCAGACAGGGGTTCAACAGGAGCGCAGCCTGGTTTTGGGCTCCGGGGAAGAAGGGAGCCTGGGCTCAGGCCGCCTCCCCGCGAAGAAAGGCTGTTTTGGCCCCTGACTGGGCGGGGAGGGGGATGCCTCCTCCAGCCCGGCCCTACCTGGGTCTCGGAGAGGCTGAGGGCCGTGGCCAGCTCGACGCGCTCCGGCGTGGACAGATAACGCTGGATCTCGAAGCGCTTCTCCAGGCCCGAGAGCTGCGAGTCAGAGAAGACGGTGCGGGCCTTCCGGCGGCGACAGTGCTTGCCCGGGAGCTCGGCGTGCGGGTGAGGCTGGAAGAGCGCCGGCATGGGGACCCCTGTGGGGAACAAGACGGGGACCGTGGTCGGCGGGGGGACGCTGCCGGCAGCAGGGTGTTCTTCGCCTCCCCAGCCTACAGCCCGGGTTTTTTTAAGTGGGGGATCCAAGGTCTGGGGTCTCTCCGCATTCCGGATTCGCAGAAAAAGCGGTCCAAAGCCTTCCGGAGTAACCGATCCGGAATGCGGGAGGTCCCCGGACACCTCGGCAAAGGACGGCCAGGCCACGGCTGCGTTCACACGACAGGCCGAACTAGAAACCGGCCACAACCGTTTGTCTTCGCGTCTCGTGCAAAGCCAAGGAGGGGCCGTCCTCGCGTGTCGAGGAAGGAAAAAAAGTTGGGTTACCTAAGGAACCTGGAGTTAAGTCAAGCACGGGTACGCCTATCGTGCTAACACACCAAGGGCGTAGAAGATGAAGATGGTGATGATAAAGACAACGCTCTCTCTGTAAAAGCAGCTCACCGACACGCATGAAACACACGCAGCTTTACATAAACACGAACATGCAATAATTCTGGCAGCCCCCTGTCGTCCCCCGCCCCCCGCGACTCTCTTGAAAACCTCTTCGGACAGCTACAGTCGAGGCGCAGCCCAACAGCTGCCAGAGAATCCCTGCCCGGCAGGCCGCGCGCCGGACCCCCGAAGCCTTCTCTGAAGTGCTGCTGAGGGAGGAGGCGGGTTTCCAGCCCCCCGGTCCTCTCTGCAGCCTTCCTGGTCCCTCCGGCACGGCCCCGCTTGCTGGGGATGATGGGGCTTCTACTCCATCCATCCGGGAGACCGTCAGGTGGAAGGGGACTACTTTTCGCCCGCGCGTCTTCTTCTTTTCCCCCCAGCAGACTGTGATTCTGCAGTCGCTGCTGCTAGATTGCAATTGTTGTTATCATTGTTCCTGTAAAATAGTCCGCATGTATTTTCCTCCGAAGGCTGTGGGTAACCTTTCCTGCCTCCAGCAGCCTGACACCCTGAGCTACAAACTAACCCCACGGCGGAGCTGGTACTGTACAACAAGCTAAGCTGACCGGGATTTCGCTTGCTTGTGGCCCCTGATTTGCCGGCTGGCCCAGACCTACCCCGCCGTGCGATTGGCGTCCTGGCTTTTCAGCTTCCTTCCTTACAACAACCCTGCAGAGGAGACTCCGGACGCCTTCCTCTCCATCTTGCAGCCCTGGCGCTGAAGGAGCGCGCTTCGGGTTCCAAAGGCCCCGCAGGACGCCTGAATCCAGAGACCCGGGCAGCCCAGGAGCATCCAGGCATCTCGGTCCCCAGGAAAGCCTCCAGAAGGAGCTTCTTGGAGGAACCGCTCGAGGCTTCTACCGGCCGAGTGTTTGGTCCGCCGCCGGGAAGACGGCTTCTTTCCTTTCGGGCCCGAAAGCGCGCCGCGGCACAAACTTTTCTCGGGCCGAATTTCTCTGCCTTCTCGAAAGGAAGCGCACCCGCCGTTCCGGCAACAGCAAAGCTGTGTGTGTGTGTGTATGCGCGCGCGCACTGTAGAAGCGGTTGCTTGCTCCCCGATCTCTCCTTGAGACGGGTTCCCGACGGGGATGGGGTAAAGAGTGATGCCCTGGAGCTTCTGCAAGCGTGGCTTGGCGCCGAGTCTGAATAAGGGGGCTGGGACTTGGCTAAAGGCCTTCCTTGAGGAAAGAACTGCCCGCGCCTCTAAATGCGTGTCCCGGGATACGTGGGGACGCCAGTGCCCGCGGCTTGGCTCTCGCCCGCTGATAATTGTCCCAGCAACCTTGCCCTTTGCACCCTCATAGGACAACCTCCTTGTTTTTCAGTGGGGCTGATGTCTAGATAAGTTACATATAGGATCGCAGCCACCGGCTTACTAGGCGGGAATCTTTCCCCGATGCGCTCTCTTTTTGCTCGTCGATTCTTCCCGACCACGTAATTCGCGTGTCTTGCAGAGGAGCGCCGGGGAGGCGGCGCGGAAGAAATTCCCTGGGCCTTGCACAGGGCTAATTCCAGGAAACTGTGCTCAGGATGGCTCTTCTCAGCGCTGCGCACATCATCTTCGAACTCGGAAAATAACCCGCGCGGCAGTTTCGCCATTTTTCGGGGTGGGTTTGCATTTTTTATGTTTGGGCGATTCCTCCTCTATTTTGGAATGAAAATAACTTAAAGAGCGGGGATAGAAACCCACGGAAACCGATTTTTCCTTCTGAAATGTTCCTGGCACTCTAAAGTCCTTCACCAGTGTGCCAGGATAATTTTGGATGTCCTATCTATCTATCTATCTATCTATCTATCTATCTATCTATCTATCTATCTTTGAATTACCGGTAAGTGATTCTTTTACCAAAGCTGCTCAAAAATAATTGCATTGGGTTAAATTAATTTTACTCCCAAGTAAAGAAGCACATGCTGTCTTGAGCTATAATCCTGCGCGTGGTTGAGAATTACCCGCACTGACCTCAGTGAGAACATTACTTCCTAAAACATGAATTTGCACTGCTAAGCGTGCGTTAAATATCTTCTTTTTCTTTCCTTTTATTTTGTAAGTGTCGGGGTGGCAGACCGATACAGTTAGAGCATATAAACCCGTACTTCTTTAAAGATCAAGATGTTGTCAAAGCACCTAAAAGTAATGGATGGGTCCCTTTCCAAATGAACGACCTTTTCCTGATTCTTTCTAAATAGATTCCAAACGGTGTCCGTCCCCTACTGTAGGGAGAATTTGGAAAATCCAATATTTTATTGGATGGAATGTAAGATTAGAAAATGATTAAATATTTTATCACGGATTCCTCGAAGTCTCTCTCTCTCTCTCACACACACACACACACACACACTCCTTCCTTCTTTTTTGGTTAAGAGAGGAACTCTGTAAAACTCAGTTTCTGGTGCTAAATTGGAAGATAACAAAAATATAGCCTCCGTGGTGGCATGAAAGGGACTAAGGGTGAGGCAATTGTGGAGCATCGGGCTTGTTTGTTTAAGAATATCGGAAATAAGGATTCTTTTCAAAGTTACTTTGCTCGAAAACTTCCAGGAAGAATCAGTGCATTGAAGGATGCTGTGGAAATACCAGGAAGGAGTGGGGGAGCAACGGAACCGTCCCCCAACGGCGGCCTAAATAAAGTCGCTATGATTTCCGAAAAGAGAATTCAAAATGGGAATTTGCCCGTTCGCGGACCGCAGAGCAAGAACTTCCACCCGTGGCGGATGGAGCGGGAGACAAGCTGTACTTGAGAGGGCGGTTCGCTTACCTGGACCACAACCCCGACAGGTTGCAGACTCGGATCTCCGCAGGTAACATTCCCCCTGCCAAGGCTGCGGTGCAAAGATCCTGCGTGCGCGCAGTCACAGGGGTGCAGCTGGGCGATTTCAGAGATCAGCACTCTTTCCTTTCAGAAGGCAACGCGCCCTTCTTGGCTTGCTCCCCCAAAGGGTCAGTTCCCCCTGCTGGCTGCCTTGGCGCCTGGCCCTGGCCCTGTCCGGCTGCGAGGGAACCCCAGCTTCTGTCTCTCCCAAACCCCTAATCTGACGGCCCCACCATTGCCCACCGGGCGTTGGAGAGAAGAGGCGCTTACCCGAAGTGGTCAGGAAATAGGGGTGATGGTGGTCTGCCTTGTGGAGCGGGTGGTGCGGGTGAGGCGCCAAAATGGCCGGGGGTGGCATCAGCGGGTACCCATAGTCCAGCAGAGGCACCCGTGAGGCCAGGGGTCCGTGGAAAGGCTCGGGGCCCCCTTCCCTCAATGGTTTGGGCTTATGGAGCAGGATATCTTCGATGAAGAAGGAGGTCGGCCTTGGGGCCACAGCGGGCGAGGTGAAGTTGAGGTTCATCTCGTGCCTTTCCCCCAACTCTGCTTATGGGGACAGATCGGGGCGCCCTCTCTCCTCGTAGCTTGAGGAGAGGGCGATCCACCTTCTTCTCTGCCGCCCTGGATGAGCCGGGCGAGGAGCGCGCCGCGATCTTCAAGGTCTTTTGGAGGCGAGGG